AAAAAGGAACCAGAGCTTGAAGATTTGGAAAATTCTCAGCCTATCCATATTGTAAAAAATGAGAAAGTATGTTCTGGGAAGAACACAAAGGTGTGACCAATTACTCCATAAAGAAATTATGGGTGCGACCCTTGAATCTCATTGGCCATCTCAGGAGAAGCCAGGACTAGAGATGGGGTTGTAGCAGCAGAAATACTTTTGCGCTAAAGAGAATGGAGACAGGACAAAATGAAGAAAGGCTGTGGAACTTCTTGGATTCTACAGGACAAGACATTTGAGCCATCTGGCTGCAAACACGTGTTATCCTTTAAGAAAAGGGAAAAATGACCTTGGGGGCAATTCAGAGATCAGCAGTGCTCCCACTTCCCCCACGGGCCTGGGACTGAAAGGTACAGGCCTGGGGGATGATGCCACCTTCTCCTTGGTTTCAGAGGGTGGGGTCACCTCTTCCATCAGTGGTCCAGGACGCTACTATCCAGTGCATCAGGGCCAAGTGACTGCAGCTGCTTCTGCCACCCCAGTGGGCCCAGAGGACAGGGCATTGAGCCAATGAGAATCTCTAGCCTTAGAAACCTAATGGAATTTGCCCTGCTAGGTTTGGGATTTGCTTGGGACCTGTGATCATTTTCATCTGTCTGATTCCTCCCTTTTGCAATGGAAATGTCTATCCTACGTGTGCCACCATCGTATTTTACAAGCAGGTAACTTCTCTGGTTTCACAGGTTCACAGTTGGAGGGGAATTTTGCCTCAGGATGAATCGTACCTCCAGTCTCACTCACGCTTGATGTAGATGATATTTGGGACTTAGAGTTGATGCTGGAATGGGTTAAGACTTTGGGGCTGTTGGAATGGAGGCGAATATATTTTGTGTGTTAGAAAGACATGAATTTGGGGGTCTAGGGAGCAGATTGTTGCGGACTGAAACGTGTCCCCCTAAATTCATATGTTGAAGTCCAAACCCCTGGTACCTCAGAATGTGACTGAATTTGGACACTGGGCCTCTGAAAGAGGTGATTAAGTTAAAATGAGGCCATTAGGGTGGGCCCTAATCCAATGCGACTGGTGTCCTCGAGAGAAGAGGAAATTCAGACACACAGAGAGAGGGTCTGACGTGCACACGGAGAAAAGACCATGTGAGGAGACTCAGTGGGAGGCAGCTGACTGCAAGCCAAGGAGAGAGGCCTCAGGAGAAACCAAACCTGCCAATACCTTGATCTTGGACTTTCAGCCTACACAACTATGGAAAAATAAATTTCTATTTTCTAGGCCACCCAGTCTGTGATACTTTGTTGTATCCCTAGCAAACTATTACAGGCAGAGGAGGCCCCTGATCCCATATGACTGGTGTCCTTGTAAAAGGGAGCTTTTATATACATACACACAGAAAATAACACCATGTGAAGCCTGGAGTTATGCTACCACAAGCCAAGGAACACCAAGCTTGCTAGCAGACCACCAGAAGGTAGGAGAGAGGGCCTCACACACCTCCGAAGGAACCAACCTTGCCAACACCCTGAGTTTAGACCTCTAGACTCCAGGACTGAGAGTCAACACATTTCTGTCATTTCAGCCACTCAGTTTGTGGTGCTTCATTGTGGCAGCTCCAGGAGACTAACGCATTGGGTTTTCTGTTATTTGACACTAACTACCCCCTAACTGATGCAGTAGAAACCACCTACATTCTACTTATACAGCATTACTTAAAATAATAAACTCCAAAATGAATCAGAATGACATGATTTTGAGAAAGAAATATAATGAACAGGAACACAGACTGAGGCAGAATAGGAAGATGGTCAAAGAATAACTCGACCTAAGGGAAATGTAGAAGGGCAATCTATGAAAATAAAAACAATGAAGAGAGAAAGATTCATTTGGAGTTGTCAGCTGCCATGTGACTACGAAACATAGTTGAGGACACTGAACACATTCATTTTTTGGCCAGGGGGTAAGGAAAAGAAAGTTATATGTGAAAAGTGTTGTCTAAGGAATTTATAATAAAATCAGAAATAAAAATCACTGAACTAACAGAAATACACCTTCAATTTTTATAAACTCATGAAGGTTCTAGGAAAATATAAAGAAAGCTTAGTTATCACAGAATTAAGGTGAATTTTTTTTTTTTTAAAAAGAGGTTGCAGAAATATACTAGTCTCTCCCTAATCATTCCTACAGCTGAGATTCTTCTCTCCCAGTGAAATATGTTATATGCTGAACAAATCAACACAATAATGTATCTGTCAGGCAAGGAAGAAAGAAAACCCGCTTTTTAAAAAAGGAATCAAGCCAGCACATTGTCATTTGAATGTTGCTGTTCTACACACCTACCTGCAGAGGTACATCTGGATCCATAGTAAATTGAGGAATTCTGTCAGTCCAGGGCAAGAATTTCTTAGTTTTGTGGTCCAGATAATAATCAAAGATTGTTCCCTGGGATGGAAACTTCACTGCTTTCATCTCTTTATGCCACCACCGACTGAAGTCAGCTTTGTAATCAGAAAGCTAAGGAGAAGAGGAGAAATCCTTATTGCGGACTTAAAGATAATAAAAGTTATAAAATAAATAAGTCATAATGAGTGATACTATCAAATAGGTAGAAAGCTATAATTGCCATATATCCATCAGTTACAAAGTCTGTGGTATAAGTATTAACTTAAAAAGCATGGTAAAATTAGGTGAACATTAGATTACCCCTCAGTTATTCTATATAACAATGAGCTATCATGTAAATTACCATGCTAGGCAGTGGTTTTCAAACACTGCTGTTAATTTCTACCAATCCTTTATCCATAAAATGACCTTGCCCAGTAGCTCTTATAACCATAAAATGACCTGGCCCAGTGACTTCTATATCCATAGGATGACCTGACCCAGAGAGTCTTATATCCATAGTATAATACAAGCTAGTGAGTTTGCTGAACTCTAAAAACACTGTATATGTTTACTGCTTTCAGCAATCTCACCCTTATCTAAGACCTCAACTCCCATTTTTCCCCAGAGAAATTTTAAAATCTGTTTTTATTTTGATGGCCCTATGTCCCTGGACTATGGCCTACTAACAGGGCTAAGAGGGGTGATCTGTCTTTTCAGGGAAAGTTTCCCCCATCATTTTCGGAACCAGCTGAGCTCACCTGCTACCCACCACCATTCACGTGTTAACAAGTTTAGGTTCATTTAAATTATTTTCAGAGTGGTGGCATACGGTATTTTATCACCCTACAAAAATTGGTCTTACACTAGGTCAGCTCAGAGGATATTACTTACCTGGCACCATTCTCAGTAGGCAGATTACATACGACGTATACATCAAAATTTGCTTCACCTAACCACTGCATTGGCAAAATGATTTTGGTGACAATCTTTGATTTATGAATTCATTCAACTAAAATGCATTTATTCTATAATAGGGAAGAAAATAAACAGGGTCTCTGCCCTCACAGAGTTTATGGGGGAGACAGAGGGAGAGACACGGGGACGCATGGCGGAAGCAGAGGCTAAGCCAATAAATGCAGAAATAAATAGGTGTCTTGAAAGTAAAGTTCACTACACATGAGAGTAACCAGGGTGATCTTTTTAATTGGATGCTCAGGGAAGGCATCCTTGAGAACAGGCACAGATTAAGGGGAAAGATCATTTCAGGAAGAATCCAGTATGTGCAAAGATCCTGTGGTATGAAAGAACTTGGTGTGTTCAAGAAACTGGCCCATGCAGCTGGGGTTTGGGGAGGGAGAAGGAAATGGCAGAGGAAAAAACAGGGAGACACAGACAGGGCTAGATCCAAAGGCCTTGCGAATTGAATTAAAAGTTTGAAATCTTATCCTAAAGGCAATAGGAATCCATTAAAGTGTTTTAAACTCTGGAGGATATCATACTATTTAATTTATATTTTAAAACGTCACTCTGACTACTGAGTGGATAATGAACTACAGGCCAAGCATAAGCAGAAAGCCCAGTGAGGAGGCTACTTCAGAAGCCAAGTGAGAAATGATGGCAGTTGATGGGAGTTCAGAAAGAGCTGATTTGACACTTTGGGAGGCTGAAGAGGGAGGAGTGCTTCAGGCCAGGAGCTTGAGGTTGTAGTGAGCTATGATGACGCCAGTGCACTCTATCCCTGGCAACAGAGTGAGACCACTTTGGAGGTTGTTTGCAAGGGACTAAGAGCACACGTCCTGGGTCAGTCTGCTATAGTTTGAACCTGGCTCAGGCATGGCTTAGCTTCATGCCCTTAAGCAGATTAACTTACCTCCCTAAGCTTCCATTCCTTATTTGTAAAAGAAGAATAGTCATACTTATCCATATGGTTTCCATTGTTTTGAAGATTAAATGGGATGGCCTATGAAAAGCCCTATGCACATTCCCTCACATGTATCAGGCACTTAATTTGGTGAACAAATAGCTGTCCTAAAAACATTTCCTGTGCCTGTTTCACTCGTGTCCCCGGCCTCATAGCCTCTCTCTTGAATGCTTTGTAGTTAGAGCCCTTGTGAAAATTTTAAGATGATGATGCTGTTGACTATTATTTGGGGAAGGGCCGGTGACCAATCATGCCCAACTTCTGGCTTAAAGAACTGGGGGGAAGGCCGCCATGTATGGTAATTGGAAAGATAAAAAGAGGATTGTGAAGCTTTATGATCAGAAGTGCAAAGATCCCAGCTGGCAACATCCCACCTGATTTTACAGTCCTGGAAAAAGAGAAACTCTGTGGAAAACACGGAAAGGAAAACTCAGATGGGGGAGAGGGGTTGTATTCTGTCTGCATGTGGCCGCCATGAACAAGAAGCCCACACCTGTTGCAAACTGCCTTTGAGAAAGCTGCACAAAGTCTCCTGACACCAGTACTCTCTCACTCAAAGCAGTATCGGCTGCTATTCGTTAGAAAGCACTTGGAGATTACAGGAGGAAATTTGCCTTCTGAAAATGGTTGAAATAAGTTCTAGGATGCCAAGTGAATGCAAAATTTATTTATAGATAGGAGTTATGGTAACTTAGTGATGAGAAGTGGAACTGGCCCACAGGTTATATAAACTGCTCACTTTAGGATCAACAGCCAGTAAACCAAGAGAAATACGGGTCACTCATGGCTATGCAAATTCCCTGTCTACACCTGGAAAGATTCAGGAAGCCTGGAAAACGTGTGCATCCATTTTCAATATAAAGATGCAGGGGCACTCACAGAAGCACCATGACCACCGAGTCCCTGAGGTACCACGAAAGACATGGCCCTTGAAGAAAGACAAACTTGGGGAGGAATCCTGACATTGCCATTTCCTATCAGTCTGATTTTTAAATTCATTTTTTTTTTAAAAAAATATTAAAAAAATTATTATGGGTACATACTAGCTGTATATCTTTATAGGGTACATGTGATGTTTTGATACAGGCATACAATGTAAATTAATCAAATCAGGATAATTAGAATATCCATCACCTCAGGCATTTATCATTGCTTTGTGTTAAGAACATTCCAATTCCACTCTTCTAGTTATTTTAAGGTACACTCCAACCTATTGCTGATAATAGTCACTTTGTTGTGCTATCAAATGTTCATTCTAACTATATTTTTGCCCCCATTAACCATCCCCACTTTATTTCCTTCTCCCTGCTACACTTCCCAGCCTCTGGTAACCATCATTCTACTGTCTCCATGAGATCAATTGCTTTAATATTTAGCTCCCACATATGAGTGAGAAGATGCAAGATTTGTCTGTGTTTGACTTATTTCACTTAACATAATGTTCTCCAGTTCCACCCATGTTGTTGCAAATGGCAGAATTCCATTATTTTTATGGCTATATAATATTCCATTATATATATATGTACCACAATTTCTTTATCCATTCATCTGTTGATGGACACTTAGGCTCATTCCAACTCTTGGCTATTGCAAGTAGTGTTGCAATAAACACGGGAGCACAGATAACTTTCCAATATACTGAATTCCCCTCCTTTGGATATATATCCAGCAGTGGGATTGCTGGGTCGTATGGTAGCTCTGTTTTTAGTCTTTTGAGGTATCTCCATACCGTACTCCATAGTGGTTGCACTAATGCACATTCATATAAACAGTGTGCAAGGGTTCCACATCCTCACTAGCATTCATTATCACCTGTCATTTTGATAAAAGCCATTTTAACTGGAGTGAGATGATATCTCCTTGTAGTTTTGGTCTGCATTTCTCTGATGATTAATGATGTTGAGTATTTTTTCATATACCTGTTGGCCATTTGTATGTCTTCTTTTGAAAATGTCTATTCAGATCCTTTGCCCATTTTAAAATTGGACTATTTGATTTTTTCCTATTGAGTTGTTAGAGCTCCTTATGTAGTCTCATTGTTAATCCCTTGTCAGACGGGTAGTTTGCAAATATTTTCTACCATTCTGTGGGTTGTCTTTTCACTGTGTTGACTGTTTCCTTTGCTGTACAGAAGCTTTTTAGCTTGATGTGATCCCATTTGTCCAATTTCGCTTTGGCAGCCTATGCTTTGGGGGCGTTACTCAAGAAGTCCTTGCCCAGACAAATGTCCTGGAGCATTTCCCCAATGTTTTCTCTTAGTAGTTTCATAGTTTCATGTCTTAGATTTAAGTCTTTAATCCATTTTGAGTTGATTTTTGTATATGGTAAGAGACAGGGGTCTAGTTTCATTTTTCTGTACATGCATATCCAGTTATTCCAGCACCATTTATTGAAGAAACTGTCCTTTCCACAATGTGTGTTCTTGGTGCCTTTGTTGAAAATCAGCTGGCTATAAGTATGTGGATTTATTTCTATCCTGTTTCATTGGTCTGTATAGCTGTTTTTAGGCTAATACCATGATGTTCGGGTTACTGCAGCTCTGAAGTATAATTTGAAGTCAGGTAATATGATTCCTCCAGTTTTGTTCTTTTTACTCAGGCTGGCTTTGGCTATTCTGGGTCATTTGTGGTTCCACATAAATTTTAAGGATTTTTTTTCTATTTTTGTGAAGAATATCATTGGAATTTTGATGGGGATTGCATTGAATCTGTAGATTGCTTTGGGTTATCATTATGATTTTAGGTAAGTTATTTCTTCACTCTGAGCTTTATCTGTGCAATGAGGATAGATTAAAGAATTAGTGTAAAGATTTGGTAAATCTAAGTAATTTGTGTATACGCAGTACATGTACCTATGTAAATTCTTATCTCAAGTGATTTCTAGAGGACATCAGAAGCCACAAAAGGGATTAATAGGGAATCTGTACAGGAGTGATAACTTCCCTTCAAGCTGAAAGAATGACCAATGAAAAGGAATTGGCAGTGGTTGACTATGGTTCACAAATGACTACCCTGGGAATAGCACGTAAGACTGGTTAGAAGTAAAAGACTGGAGACAGAGAAATCAATTTAAAGGTTCCCTATGCTGCAAACTGAATTGTGACACCCCCAACTCCCTAAATTCATGTTGAAGCCCTATCTCCAAATGTGATGGTATTTGGAGATAAGGCCTTTGGGACATGATTAGATTTCAATGAGGTCACAATGGGCCCCACATGATGGGATTAGTGCCCTTACAAGAAGAGACACCAGAGATATTGCTGTCTTTCTCTCTCCGCCACATGGGGACACAGTGAGAAGATGGCCACCTGCAAGCCAGAGAGTCTTCACCAGAGCCCAACCACACTGGCACCCTGATCTCGGACTTCCAGCCCTCAGAACTGTGAGAGTACATTTCTGTTTTTTAAGGCAGCCAGGCTATGACACTTTGTTACAGCAGCCCGAGCAGAATAAGATGCTATGGCAGCCCAGAGAAATCAAAAGATGATCCACTCCTGAATTAGAGCTGTAGGGATGGAGAAGAGAGGACAGACTTGGCAGCTATTTTGTAAGTAAAACTGAAATGGTCTGAGATCCTGGGATGTAGAAATAAGGAAGAGGGATGTCTCCTGGGTTTTTTAACTGGAGCAGCTGGGAGGAATATATCACTGAGAGAGAAAAAAATAAATAATAAAGAGGAAAAGCAAATTTGGGAGTGTGGCAGAGGAAGCGGTGTGTCTCAGGCACAGTAAGTGTGACTTGCCTGCAGAACAGCACACTGCAAGGGAGGCCTCCAAGGCAGCCAGAAACATAGAACCTGGGGTTCAGAAAAGACAGCCAGGCTGAAGGCCCTAGATCTGGCATTATCAGCTGAGGCCAGAACTATCAATCAGCCTGGATAGGATTTCCCAGAGAAGGCACAGACTTAGGAGAGAATAAGGCAAAGAGTATAGACTTATCATAATATGAAAAAAAGACATAGATGACATATTATAATCCCTCACACCCTGCAAAAAAGAAAAAATGGTATTGTAAACTATTTCTAAATATACCTGATCTTGTAGCAAGGTGCCACCGAATGCCCAGATACAAGCAAAGGCAAAATAGACTTCATAAACTTCTTTTGGGCTGTCAGAAGGTACATTTTCAGGAGTCAAGAAACACTCCAAAAGAGTACAAATAGTCTAAAGAAAAAGAAATAGCCATTTATTTAGGGCGACATTTTTTAAATAGTCAAGTTCAAAGAATGTTTTTATGACTCTACTTTATCCTTAAAAGATTATATCATTTTTCCCAACTCTGTGATTTGCTACATAGGGAGACACAAAAATTACTACTTTGGGTGTCTCAGCCAATGGTAGAAAACTTTGATGACTTTTAACCAAAATGATCTTCTAGGGAATAATAGACTATTTTAAAAAAAATAAAATTTTAAATGACCCAATTAATAATCACTGTACAAACCAAAAATACACACAAGCAAAGAGAAAAAAAATGAGTATATATTTATATAGGCTTTTTTTTTTTTTTTGGTAAATAGAGAATCACACTACACATGGTATTGTGGAACCCACTTTCTCACTTAAAAACATACTAAAGAAATCTTTCCTTATCAATAAGTGTTACTCTACCACATCATTGGAATGGAAGTATAAGATTCCATTGGATGGACAGGCATCTATGTAACTATTTCCCTTGTTGGACATTTAGTTAACCCACTTTCCTTTAATGCTTTGGCAGCCATTTTTCCCACATGTTGTCATAAATTTAGAATGTGGACTGGCAGCCTTAGCCTGCGGCATTATTTTGGAACCCAAACTAAATTTAGCCTTGGAAGAAATGCTGTTCAGGAACTTGTTCTTTATACACTCCAGGTAAACCAGCAATGTGCTCTGTTGGTCCTAAGACATCTCATGTTCAGGATAATCACATCAGCAAAGAGGGGAACATGGCTGCTACAAAGGCCTTTGCCACATGAAATGATAACCAACAATGAACATGTTTTGGGGCTAATTCTCCAAAGTGCATACATAGCTGTCATTAATTAGCATCATCACAGACCCTAAACCCTCAAGATACTCTTCCCTCAGTTTGGGAGGCAGCAACAGATTTTTGTTGCTATCACACACACAGCAACGCAAGCTATGACAAACCAAGTTAGTATGGCATGTATGCTTTTCCTTTCCAGCTATGAAAGATGGGGAAATGCTTTGCATTCAGGTAGTTGAGCACCTGTTCTATTTTAAAATCTTCTTTCTTGATTTTTATCAATTTATAGCATGCCACATTTGGCAATTAGAAATAATATTGTAACAAACTAAAACTTACTAATCTGTTATTAAGAAAATAGTGTCAAACTGTGTGGCTTTGCTATTTCTGAGTAGAAACCATGTTGTTCTAAAGAACTGTTAAAATCAAACCAAAAAAGACCAAAGGGTCTCCACGTGATTTTATCCATCCAGGAGAACATTCTAATAAAGTTATATGATTTTTCTGTTTTTTTCCCCCAAACACAGTACTTCAAAAACATTTTGAGCTCTGTTTCAGCAATTAATAAAATCACACTTTGATGCATATTCTGAAAGAGTTAATACACTTTACCAAACTTAAAGAAGTTTCATATATTGGAAAACAGGAGTACATTCATTTCTAAAGATAGCCATTTCAAGCTATTCTGTTTCTATACCTACTTTTACCTCAAATTCCTGTACTTATAAGTAACCACAGAAAAGAAACTATAAAACAGCTTAAAAGGAACTAAGGATTAAATGCCATTTCTGAATACTACAACAGGAGGAAGTAAAGCAAAAGTCATATAAATTCCTACTGACCTATTTTCACACTACTCTTGAATGAAAAAGTTCACACCACAGAGAATCACACAAATACACAAGTCAACTTGAGAAAGAACACGATCATGCTTTTTCCAAGTATTACACCAGAGGAAGTCTAATTAGGCTAACTATATAATTAATTCATTATGAATAAATTCAGACCTGCTTTCAGAAATAAATTATATCTCAGATAATTACTGTTGAAGACTATCGTTTATTTAATTGGTGTGTGAATTATCCAAAAACCTGAACCTTCTCTTCGTATTATGCTTGTGACTATTTCTAATTTAGCTTACTATCTTACAAATTTGGTAACACAGTAACTTGGTGGTAACAAAGTACTTAGAAACCACTTTTGCTTCTATAGGAAAAAAGAAAAGGTTTCTAATGGTAAACCCTTTATGAAGTTTTTTACTAGTAAGGGCTGGGGATAGTTTCTCTTCATGCTGAGGTTAAGATCACAACCTTCATTTCTGTGTGCTGTAAATTATTTTCATTAGCTTCCATGACAACATAGTGTATGTCCCCTTCACTCTTACCAGCTGTCTCACAATGAGGATCAGAAAAAACGTATCCCTGGAATACTACAAACTCTTCATCCAGACTGACATGCCTTTAAGGAATATTTCTGGGAGGGGACACTCTATGGGTGGCAGCATCTATGTGGTAGAATCCAGATGCTTCCTCTTACTCACTGGCTGGCATCTTTAATCACACAGATTTATTTTATTCAAAAAACATACTGAGCACCTTCTCTGGGCAAGATACTTAGGAGCTAGAGAAATAAATAAGGCTGTTGAAACTTTGTTTTTCTAATTTTGTGCAAATACACTTGGGAGAAACACAATGATTCAATAAACACATACTTGGCCACCTATTATGTACTAGGAACCACAGAAATCTCTGGGGATATAAAAATGAATAAAACACGGCTTCAGCCTTCCTTCACAGGATTGTGAAAAGAAACAGACCGCAAACCCAAATGCCAGGAGAGCGTGATAGCGTATGATAGGGGTTTGTAAAAACCTCCAGGGAACCCAGGGGCTGGGGCAGGAGGATTGGCAAAACAGAACAATTCTGGAAATCTTCCCATCTTCTTGGGCAAGCAAAAATCTCTGCTGTCTTGATCCACACACACAACCACATGAGGACTAGAATGTTATGTCGGAACCAAAGACAAACCTGCACCAGGCTACTCTCTGGAATTGAAGTGATGGTTTTAAAGCTTGTTCTCAGCTTATCCAAGCATGCGGGAACATAATTATCAAAAAGAATAGTTAAATTGGCCTTTTCTGATTGATGCCGCCTTCTGTCTATCCAACTGGCCACATACCTGAAAAGGAACATGGAAAAGCTTTTATCGAATGTGAGGCTTGAAAAGCAGAATTTCCCCAAGTCAAAAGCTTCCCCCTTCGACACAGCTTGGCGCAACACTTCAGGGACATGTTTAGCGAGTTCATTTGATTTCTCAAACTGCAAATATTTTAAAAGAGCCCTTTATAAACTTGTTTTAATGGCCATTTTTGCCTTAATAAAAAGACTGTAAAAGAAACTCCTAATAGCACTTAGAAGCCAAACATAATGGAGTATAAGTAAGGCCATTACCGAGCATTTATAAGGAAGTGCCGTATGTCATTTCCTGAAGGGCTAAAACTGTTCCCATAGTGTAGGCCTTATTTATGAAGACAGCTTGGGATTTTTCTTGATTAATCTTGGCATCAATTATTTAGTAATGAGAATTCAGTTACAAATAAAAAGGTAAAAATTCCATAGGGACTATTTCAAAGCACTCCTTTTCCACTAGACTGAATGTAACACCAACCTGATAGCTGACAATGTATTTCCAATAAGTGGCTCTTAAATGGTATTTTATGTTCGGGTGCATATATATAGAGAGAGATATATCTAAATCTCTATATGTAAAATGTCAATTTGATACGTTAAATATCTCTAGTGTATTAAAATAATACTTATCAATAAAACAGAATATGACTTAGTAGTTTCTGAAGTGAAGATGTATGATGTTAAACAAAAAATAATCACTCAGAAAGTTCTCATTAAGTAGGAAGCGGGGGTAATAAATACATTTGGCAGCTGGCAGGGAAGCAGTGTGACCACAGACCAATCACAGCTAGACTTTGCTTTAAGCAAATCAGATTTCACATCTTGACTATCACAAGAAATTAAGGCAAGATAATTACCTCACAAGAGGCTCCTTTCGCTTTTCACAATCTTTACAATAGGGTTTTATTAAATAATCAACTATGTTACACTATGGTTAGATTCATAACTTTTTCGGGTCTGAGAGGAATGGTTTTCTGTGGAAGTCCAATTGCATGAGAGTAACTCAGTAGAGCATCTCTGGGTGGCAGTGACAGCGGGCACCATGGGACAACGGAAAGCAGGTGTTAATGACGGGGGACAAAGGCATGAAGAACACACCTACCCTTTAGCTACTGATTTTATTGCATATCAGCTGCCAGAAGTGAAATCTTTGTGTCTAGAGTTTATCAAGGAAAAAAAAAAAGGATTGCTCAGGGAGACAGAACTCTAAATTCAGACTGTCTGGATCTGTAGCCTAGCTCCACCATGTTTTAACTGTGTTGCCTTGGGTGAGTTACTTAATCTCCCTGTGCCTCAATTTTCTCATCTGTAAATGGAGGTGATGATATAGACCTCCTAGGGTTGTAGTGAAACCACCTTTACAAATTGACAAAGGGGTGTAAGGTGAGAACTGTGATAGGGGCCTAGCTAAAAATAAAGCACAGGCCTAGCTAAAAATAATGATGATAATTTGCCACTGTCCCCGTTTGCTTCTCTAAAATTGCCACTCTAGAGCCACATAGCTGGTGGTCATAAAGATTCTTAGCTTTCTCCATAGATAACATCACCTTTTTGAAACCTAGGAGTAGTTTCTGAGATATCTTCTAGGTCCCATGTTCCAGTGGAACGGCTGACCCACCCAGACCAGCGGCCCATACCAAGGAACTGACTCAACTGGTCTCGTGACCCCACCCAAGAACCTGGTCAGCAAAGAAGACAATTCCTACAACCCCATGGTTCCGCCCCAAACTCAGTCAATTAGCAGACTCAGTTGCCTATGCCACACTGTCTTGAAAAACCTCGTCCCCCTAATTCTTGGGAAATTTGAGAAATTTCTCCCATCTCTTTTCTTAGCACTATGCAGAATAAACTCTTTCCCTGCTGCAGACCCTGCTGTTTCAACATATTGGCTTGTTCTTGGGCAGCAGGCAAATGAACCTGGTTGGGCAGCAACAGTAATGAGGATTAAACCAGTTTGCATGTATAAAGTACTTAGATTAATATCTGACAAATAAAAAATTCTCAATAAATATTACTCATTAGTACAAAGTTGGTGGCATAGGAAGACCTGAGCTCTGATACTGGCCCTGCCTCTCTGTGCATCTCCTAAAGGCACCAGTGTCTTGCTGTATATAACAAATTCCACACCCTCCCTCCCTACAATGTCTCTTCCAGGCATCTGTGGGAGCAGAAGGACACTGCAAGGATAACTAGGAGCAGCACCCTCAAAAATAGCCCCAGAAAGAGGAAGTGGGCTTTGTACTTAGAGGCCAGAGAAGAGCTACCTCACTGAGCCACAGCAGCAGTGGCTAAAGTCTCAGAGAAAATCTAGCAGGCACACTAGCCACGATGCTATTGCACAATCACCTCCAAGTGGGAGCTGCTTCAGAAAAAACACAATCAAACCAGGAAACATGGTAAGAGCTGATGCCACACACCATCCTTCCCTGCCCAGGCCAACAAATGACCTGTCCTAGGGAGCAATCATACCATATAGCATAGGGAGTAAAAATGTCTAAACTGATAAATACAGACAGTTTAAAATTTTATGTAGAAATTATTGCTAAATGTTCATAGCTTAGAATAAATACAGACATTAAAAGATACCAAATATTGAGAAATTATAATCTTCAGCAATGGCAAATACTGAAGATACAGATTTGTATTTGTTTGCAATTCTTTCCACCTCCCTTCACAAACAAGTTCCTTATTTTTAAAAGATGCTACAGATTTGAACATGACCAAATGGAACACACTGCTATCACATGGCATGCAATTGAAGATGACATACTAAACTGGCATATTTATTCCTTGCCTATGTAAGATATCACTCACATCGATGTCCTGTCTCAGGAAATAGCTACACTGTGATGCTTTAATGCATCATCTTAATTTAATGCCAATATCTAGGTCACTAACAGAGTTTTAGCTTTTCCGAATTTGTAAATGAGCCCACATCATCAGCTATGTTGCTGTTGCTTCCTCCAGAAGTGCTCCAGGTTTATCACATGAAGTCTAAAACCCTGTGGTTTGGAAGCTATCTAGGTAGCCAAAGTTTTCAGGCTTCTGAAAACTTTTTATTATTACTCAATCCTCTGGGGTTGGATCCTATCATATAGGATAGCAGGAATTCCTCAGACTTATAGTGTGCCCTCATGGCAAGCTTCAGGTTCTCTGTCATTCACAGTGGCCTGGAAAAATGGCAGAAGTTAGCAGGACATGCTGATTAGCAATGTATGCTGATTATTTCTGAATCTGTATTCTTACAAGTGTATATAATATTCAAGGGTGAGATAATGAGATTGCAGGGGTAAAAGATAACAAGTTCGTCCAATGCAGAAGAGAGAATTAGTGATACAAAGCCAAAAGAATATTTTAAGCTAAAGTGTTAGGTAGACAGCTAGGGACCTTTGGCCCCTCCTGGGGATAAGGTGGGTGACTGCCACACCTGGGGGAGGAGGGAACACCCCATGAATCTGCCAATCAGAACTTAGCGCACCAACTGCAAAAGAATGCAGAAGACTCTAGCTCATGGGGCAAGCAGCGTAGGTATAGTAGAGTCTGGAAAGTGGCCTAGAACAACTGGCTTTCAGAGAGGCTCATGGGAGATCCACATGCACAGTAAGACTCAGGTCATATAAGACTCAGGTCACTCCTAACTGACCATCAAAGTGGTTTCAGGGTGACGTCTGAGCCACGAGGGTCCAATCCAGACACTATAAAACAAGACCCAGACCATAACCAAGCCCTCTTTTGCCATAACAAGAGGTCCAGTGGTCATCTGTGGCCTATGTATCTTGCTCTGTAAACCTGTATCTTGCTCTTGCTCTATGATGCCACCTTGCTCTCCCTCAATAAATTTCACCTCGTACTTGCCTTACTTTGGTGTGTCTGTTATTCTTGGGCCAAGAGCACACCAAGAACTGAGTACACAGAACGAGACTGCCAAACCCGACAAAGGTAATCAAAGAAAGGGCATGATCTAAAGTTGTACCTTCCAAGAGTTATCTACCGCTATCTACTCTTTTGGAATCAGACTAAATTCCAGATATACTCTCCCCTTTTCCTTACAAGCTAAATAATATACAATTTGGCAGATCCCATGTTAAGTGTTATCCTCCCTTTTAAACAATTTTAACTTAAATAATTACAAATAAATTTAAAAAATTTATTGTATGTTTTTCCCTTTCCATATATTCTTATCCCTTTCTACTAGAAAAAAATTGTCACCGATCATAATCTTCAGAAATTTTTTTCTAATTCCTGACCTGATCTGTACCAGACTTTTCCACTAAACTTACTTAGAACTCACAATTAAAATAAAAAAGTATTTGATTTCTACAGCTAGTCACAAGTTAATATAATTTTAAGGATGTTGTTTTAACTTTATATGGTCCATATCTATAAAAAATGGACATAAAATTATTTTTTTAAATAGCTTGGTGAATTTTAACAAAAATATTGAAGAAACTAAAGTGATAAGGCCCTATCTTTAGTCCTGACACAGCAGCCCACAGAGATACTATGGACATCATTTCATAATCTCTTTTAGCCACATCTTAAGGCTTTTCCAATTTATTTTTTTTTTTTTTGGTGGAACAAATCATCATACTTTATTATTTCTTGTGAACAAAATATTTTCTAGAGGGCAGCATTATAAGTATTAATACTGGAATCAGTGGAAACAATGAGTATAGATCACATCTTTTAAGTGATAATTTCTCAGAAATGTCTTCAGGTCACTGAAGATTATCTATAAACAATTGGTCTTGGGAAAACATAATTTTTTGAAGAACTCTCTTGCCCTTGAGAGTGACCTAATGTGAATGAATAAAATATATTTCTCCAGTTGAATTGAAAATAGGTACATCTCTATGCTGAATTCTAATAATATTATTCACTCTTTAAAGATTGACAGACGCTAAAATTATCAGTGTTCTTTTGAACTTGCTATTAATTCTTTCTCAAAATTCACAGCTATCCCAATAACACTCTTAAAGTCTTAAGCATAATAAACTTATAAAGCCTCTTCTTTCAATATGTCTTCCAAAATCTCCTTTATAAATGCCTTCTTTTAAAATAGCCATCTTTGGACTACTTTATGATGTAGGTTTTTATTTGTGTATGCTGGTTGTTTCAAGCCACTTCAACCATAATGTTGGTTCTATGATCAATGTGGGCAAGAGTGATAAGACGGTACAAGTATGGATGCCAGTCCTGGGGAAACTTGGGCCTTTTAAGGATGCAAGAGAAAACCAGGAAGTGTCCATCTATCTGCCGGGTAAAAGCTAAACAAACACACGTTGGATGAAAACAAACAACAAGATCATTACAACTTTGCTGAGCACTGTGGTGTTTATTTTAAGACTTTTCTACACTTAGCCCTCTCTCTCTACTCAAGGTGCAGCAAATCACTTCCTTGTTAATAATGCACATGTGGCCCTTATCTTGGCTGTGTTTGTAATACAATCAATGGTTCAGACATTAAGGTTGCTGCCAGCACACTGGCACAGGCTGGCTCTCCACACTTTGTTGTCCTGTTAACTGTCAATGGTAGTCAAATAGTTTTCCTAGTTCTGTTCACTGAAGGGGACTAGAAGCTATGACATACTATTAGCAACTAGCACACCACACATCCCTATCTTAAATTCTAAGTACCATTATTTCTCATAGCAGAATTTCTTCCTTCCGGTTCCTTGGAAAAATGACTGATTTAGTTCTCAGGTAAGGAAAGTCTGAGGTGAACCAGAAGCATCCTGTTTAGCCAGAAAGCAAAGTGCTCAAAGACTTAGGACAAACAAAAAAGAACACAGAAGCAAGGGCTCTTGCTGGCAAAATCTGGGACAATTTGAACATCCAAAAGAATGCTGGTAATCAATATAACCCACTGAACTGGAAGAAAAGAAAATGATGCTCTGACAGAAAGGGCCGGAGACGGAGGGAGGGAGAAAGGAGGAGAAAAAGTTCATGACAGAAAAGGGTCACCTAATATATGTAAATAGAAGGACTGAATTAGGAAATCACTACTTGGCAATTACCAATGGGCCATTCTTTGAGATACCCACCCGGCCTGCTCTCTTCAAAATGGTAGATGTCATGAAAGGACAAGACGGGGGAGTGTTACAGATTAAAGGAGACAACAGAGACAAGTGTAATGTGCAATCTTGTTTGGATGCTGGGTTTTCTAAAAAGACACAAAAGAAATTACTAGGATAACTGGCAAAACTTGAAAAATGATTGCTTATTAGATAGTCTTGTATCAAGGATAAATTTCTTAAGTGTGTTAATTATATTGCATTCACGTAGCAGAACATTCTAGTTCTTAGGAGATAAATGCTGAAGTACTTAGGGATGAAGTGTCAATGTCTCCAACTTACTTTCAGAAATTTCAGCAGAAATTAGTAAAAGTAGCAAATATGCCTGTGTGTGTGTGTGTGTGTGTGTGTGTGTGTGTGTGTGTGAGAGAGAGAGAAAGAGAGAGAGAAAATATACAGCCTGAGAGAAGAACCTTATCTGAGGAATGCAAACCTTTTTAGTTATGAGGACCTGAGAGACATTAAAATAAGACATCATTCACACCCTACACCCCCCTTTGAACTCTGCATTCATCTCTTGAAACTGCTTGCTATTGCCACAAGTAGCTATAAATTAAACTAATAATGCCTCACCAGAACACTGCAACTGACACCCTATAGCTTAAGAAGGTGTAACCAATCACTAATCAATGTAATTTCTGTAAACCAACAAGAATTCCTGACAAACAACTTTGTATCAGCCCATTCCCTGTAGCCCCCCCACCCCGACCCCCCTTTGGTTTTTTTTTTTTGCCTTTAAAAACCTGCTTGTGACAAAGGTCACATGGAGCTCATATCCAAGTTTACTTGGGTCTGAGTCTTCCCAGTAGCTGTCCTCCTCATCTCCTAGAGCTGCCCAATCGTGCACAAGCAGCTGTGTTAGTGTCCCCTCTGTCTGCAGGAAGAACATGGCGGATTGGCTCACGCAACTGCAAGACGCGGTGAACGTGCTTGCAGACCAGTTTTGTAATGCCACTGGAGTGCTGAAGCAATGTGGTCGCCCTGCCTGTTTTAATAATATTCAGACAGCGATTAACAAAGACCAACGAGCCAACCCTACAGAAGAATATGCCCAGCTTTTTGCAGCACTGATTGCACAAACAGCAAAAGACATTGATGTTTTCATAGATTCCTTACCAAGTGAAGAATCTACAGCTGCTTTGCAGGCTGCTAGCTTATATAAGCTAGAAGAAGAAAACCATGAAGCTGCCACTTGTCTGGAGGATGTTGTTTATGGAGGGGACATGCTTCTGGAAAAGATTCAAAGTGCTCTTGCTGATATTGAACAGTCACAGCTGAAGACAAGAAGTGGTACCCATAGCCAATGTCTTCCAGATTCATAGTACCATTGAATACCATGTGACTAAGAAAGAACTGTTTCAATGCCATTAAGATTCTGCACCAGATTTAGATGGAAGCTTTACCGACTGTTACAGAAACATTAAACACTGACAAGTGTTAAAAAAAAAAAAAAAAAAGTTTAGACTGAAACAGGATCGCACTTTTCACCTCTCACGAAAAGGCGCACCTCTCACCTCTGAGGGTCATCAACTCAAACAACAGACCAACGCAGGACCTGCAGTCTCCACCTCTAATGAAAAACGGTTCCAACAAAGGATTCGTCCAATAATGGTGAAATATCCAGTTAGCAGCACCTCAGCATAGATGTGCCTGACAAAACCCTTTCCTGCTGAGATATGATGACACAAATCACGTTTAAATCATGGCGACAAGTGCTACGGTCCCTTAAAAGTGGTGAAATACTGGTGAAAGAATTCTTAAAATCATGCTTATTTCAAAATTCTGCTACCTACTCCTTGGAAATATCCAGTTTCCTGGGGCAAAACGTAGATTTCTTTGCCAGAACCTGTCTCCATTCCTTGCCGAGGAATCAAGTGATTCTGAAGAGGATGGTGAAAAGTGCAGATCCTGTTTCAGTCTTTAGGTCAAGTAAACGCTTTAGATCATACTTTGTGCTTCAGCCTCTTCCTTTTAGGTCAACAAGTTAGACAGAAATTAAATGTAATAAAATGGTAACAATTGGTATCATAGGAAAAGGGGCCATGACTATACTTTTACTACCTGTTCAACTTTTCCATAGTGTTGAATACTTTGAAATAAAAAATTGGGGACAATTGAGACTTAAGATACTGGTTTGGAAAATCAGGTTAATAATCACATGGATCTCAGAAAGTAATTGGTTATTAAATGGATCAATATATGTAAAGTTATCACATTCTTAATATTATGACATTAAAGATGTTAAAGTATCCCATAATGACACAGTAAAAAAAAAAAAAAATACCCCTTAACCTGCAATAGCCAATTTATTTGTGACTTATTGAAAGTTTCTGGCAATGGGAGGTGAAAATATAAAAATATCCTTTAGAGAAGATTCCGTCTTGGAAAATGATCTGGATGGACCCTTTAGTCACACACATGAAAATCAACACCTACTCATCGATCTTAGATAAAACAAAAACCTTCATAAAAGTAAAATCTAATGGTGAAGACAGAGCTGTTTAACTCTCCTAGGAATATAAATTTGGTGTCTCTTGTGACGCCAACTTGTGACGTTTGATGTGTTGGATCAAAGTCTTTCTGTAGGGATTTAGATCAATTTCTTGTTAGCACAAACCTCCAAATGATGGGATTGAGACTCAATGACATAGGCCTTGGGAGCTGTGAAATTTGCTACTGAAATCAGACCACACCCAGTAGGGGTGAGGAGTCCTCTGAAGAAAATGAATGCTGTCACTCACACTGGGGTGCCTGTGCTCTCTGGACAGGGGAGTCCAGGGATATTGGAGGGACTTTTTCAACTAGCTCCCAACCAACAGAAGCAAACAGGAGATAGTCAGAATCCTAGCTGGGGAAAGGAGCTATCAGACCCAAAAGAACTCTCCATTTTAGACTTTTAAAAATCACTCCTTCCCCCAGGCAAATAAAACTTTGTTAAAGACTAGAACCTGGGCACATTTCTATTTTGCTGCAGAGTTAAGGGATGAGCCTTGTAGTGAGCACATCAGTACATGGAGGAGAGTAGCCTAGAGAAGTACATCAGTCACGTGTCTGGCAGGAAATGGACGTCATCTTTCAATTAGGATAACAGGGACGGATCAAGAAGAGGACTAGTTACAATGATGTGGGCAGGGAGTAGAGAAAGTGCCATGCCTTGGGTAATAACAAGGAATGGTTCTTGCTCCTATGTCTGCAGGGACAAGAAAATGAAGGACTACTAGAACCTGGAAGGAAAGAATCTTAAGAAGAGATTTCAGAGGAGCTGTGACCTGCAGTTGAGGAATGGAGCCATCTTGATGTGACCCTGCTGGGAGGGACCCAGGGAATATGTAGCCTGACCTCACTCTGCTCTCTCCCTCTCATTTCCTGCCAGGACTCGGCATTGGTCAAGCCAACCAGAAGCCAAAGGGCAAGGAGCCCACTAATGTAGTCCATAAAGACCAGCTCTTGGGGCAGAGAGCTGGGTGACAAGGATGGAGATTATATCTGGAAGGGTAAACAGATTTCTGACATAAGCAGCATGCCAGGCACAAGCAAGTGTTCACCTGCAGAGCTCAGAGCTTCCTGCAGTTCAGAGTGGAAATGCTGGCTGTGACAAGCGACCAGAAAGTATAAGCATTTGAAGGATAAGTGAGTGGGCATAATAAACTTGCTCTAAATCAAAGCATTGCTACTGTTATGTATGCATATTTTTATATATGTACACACACACATATATACATATGCTCATTAAATGATTTATTTATATCTATGTGTTCCATACAAGCTTTCATTATTATTTATGCACTCATCCAACAAATATTTACTGGATTCTTAACATGTTAAAGATGCGTGAACAAGGTAATGTCTAAGTAAAAATGACGAAGACATCCACTTGCTAATTTAATTATTTTAAAATCAGCCTAATTAGCCTTAAATTTAATTAATTCCTAATATTTTCCTCAAATGATCATATAAGTATTTAGCTTTTAAAAACTAAGATAAAAAGAACTATTCACAATAAAAACAATCTGACTAAAAAATGAGCAAAGGACTTACATAGACATTTTTCCAAAGAAGATATACAAATGACCAATAACAGATGAAAACATGCTCAACACCACTAATCACTGGAGAAATGCAAATCACAACTACCTTGAGATACCCTCTCACACCCATTAGCATGGCTACTATCAAAAACAAAACAAAAACAAGAAGATAACGAGTGTTGGTGAGGATATGGAAAGACTGGAACCCTTGTGCACTGTTGGTAGGAAGGTAAAATGGTGTAGCTGCTGAGGAAAACAGTGTGGCAGTTTCTCGAAAAGTTAAAAATAGAATTAACATATGATCCAGCAATTCTACTTCTGGGTAAAAATGTGAAAAGAATTGAAAGCAGGGTCTCAAAGAAATATTTGTACAACCATGTTCACAGCAGCATTATTCGTGATAGCTGAGAGGTGGAAGCAACCCAACTGTCCACTGATGGCTGAATGGATAAACAAAATGTGGTACATACATATGACGGAATTCAATCCAGCCTTAAAAAGAAAGGCAATCCTGCAATGTGCTATAGCATGGATGAACTTTGAAGACATTATGCTAAGTGAAACAAGCCTGTCACAGAAGGACAAATACTGTATGATTCCATTTGTGAGGAACCTAGAGTAGTCAAATTCATAGAGACAGAAAGTAGAATGAGGGTTGCTAAGAACTGGAGGGAGAAATGGAGAATTATTGTTTCATGGGTACAGAGTTTCAGTCTGGGAAGATAAAGTTCTGGAGATGGATGGTGGTGATGACTGCACAACATGAATGCACTGATTGTCACTCAATCGTACACACAAAAATGGTGAAAATGGTAAATTTTATGTTATATGTATTTTACTACAATAAACAAGAAGTTTTTTTTTTTTTTTTTAAAAAAAGGAATACTCACGGATTCCAGCCCAAATCTTGTGGGTTCACATATAGAATACCAGCTCTGGAAACAGTCGCTGGGGTTGCTGTCCTTAAGTGATGTGTCTCAAACAGAAGCCTCATGCAGGGCGTGAGGGCTACACGCTCATTGCTGGCCAGGGTCAGCACCTGGAAGGAGCAGCGCAGCAGGCAAGCTGTTAACCAGGAGCAGAAGCACCACTGCTTACACAGGTACTGCAACAACAGTACTGCAACAACAAAAAGTGCTTTCCCCCTAGCAGAGGTGCCAAAGGCTGTGCGCTCACTGTCCTGAGCTAGGAGTGCAATCTGAACAAAGATCGAAGTTCACCCCTGAGCCAACCTGACTGACCCTCGAGGAACACATTCTCCTAAATGCGCTCATCAAAGCCAACCTTTTAATAACCGTGGTAATTATTACTAAGCCAAATATAAGACATTCATTCTAAAAGTTGATTACATGAAAAGGCCTGAATACCACAAAAAATAAACTCTCTTTGGAATCTGAAATACCACAATTATCAATTGTCCTATGGAGACTCATGCAAGTATAAAGTTCTCAAACCTATATTTTATGATGAACAATGGTCTTGGTTCAGAAAGTAGTAATTACTGTTAATTTAAGGTGATTACTAAATCTATCCTGGAGTAATGATGATTACCGATTTCTCTCTCCTGACCCCGACAACAGACCCTGTGTTGCAAACGCTGGCTCACAGACCTGTACCATGCACCAGGAATGCTGGATTAACCACGGCAGAATGCTTGAAAAAACATTTAAACTCAATCTGTAGCTATAGGAACTGATTAATTTAAATAGCTAAATTTCACCAATTATCACATGGCATAAACTCATTCTTTTATCATCTAAGTATTCCGTATGTAATCAAAGATGATATAAGATGTAATAAATTCAAGCCTAGCTCTTAGAAAATGGTAAGATGTGTAAACTAAATTCTTAGACATGTATTTAACCCTCATTAAAGGTAGTCACATTTACACAGGTGAGGAGAATACATTCCCTTAAATTTTTTAATGGTGAAATTAAGAGAATTATCAGGAAAGTGGCACTTATCAAAATAGTGATTACATAAAGAATACCAGGTTAATGAGTAAAAATTAGCATTAACATCAATGAAAGAATGGGGCTCTTAAAGCACTCAAGACGTTATGTTTAAGGTCTAGCACTGAAATATTATTCACCTTGTTATCATCCATGACTGTGTTTAGTGATTCAATCCACATGGGATCAATGTCTCCATCTAGAACTATCCATTTCGGTCCATCATGCACAAGATTTGCTTGTTCTCGCAGAATGAATGAGAAGAGACCTATAAAATAAGAGTAAACAATCCTAATATATAATGGAATTGAGTGTTTATTTCTAAAATGAATTTGTATTACTCTTCTTGAAAGCTCTTTTGTTAACTAAATAAAACCAATTTCGCTGCCTCTTTTTTGTGGGTAGTGCGTAACACCTTTAGAGCTACACGTGGGCTCCAGATCCAGCTCTATCATTTGCCAAAGAGCAAGACTCCCCTCTCTGAGAACGATCTTTAACGTCCCCGACTGAGCTTCCTGGTATGTCAAACGGTGATAATCAAACCTTCTTTAATGAACAGTTGTGGGGTTTACAGAAGGTAATGTACATAAAACTCAAAACTTACACCAAATGAACACATTGTTCTTTCTTCATGCACATATGTTCAGTCTCTATTTTAGATCAAATACTAGTTTATTTCACCTTTCTCCATTTTTCTATAACAAATTTTCAAGGGCCATAATTCTAAAGCTAAAGCACCCACAAGCTAAAGCACCACATACATCTCTTAGAGAAATTTTGTCATGGGGATATTAAGTTATCATTACTTAACAAGATGTATAGACAAAAATATTTTAAATCCATGGTCATTTTTTCTATTACTACATTCCTAAGTATTGTATGTGTTACATGGCGTATTTAATAGTTGATTTTTCAAACTCAAGTATACAATGCCATTGTGAGCAAAACTGAATACATGTACGTGGAATATTTCCTTTGTGAAGTTTTTTTGTGCCAAAAGTAAGCGAGAGTATCTAGTGGAACCTGCCATCGTGATTCATAAATAAGCCAGTAACATTTTCTAATGGTCACTGATTTGAGCAGCTTCCAAAGATTTGAGGCATAAACAGATACGGTTCTCTCCCTGCCACAGTGCTTTATACAAAGACAGAAGCTGGGCTGCGAGAGTAAACATTGTCCCACAGATAAAGGAAAGAGTGTACACAAGATGAGAGGATGGACAAGGATGAAGGGTGTCCTACCTTAGATCCAGTCATCAGGGAAGTCTTCTCTGATGTGACATTTGACCAGACACTTAAATAACGTAAGTCATGAAGGCATCCGGAGAAAGAGTGTTGCCCATGGCAGGAATGTCAAACACCAAGGCCTCGTGATGGGAAGATGCTTGGAAAGCTCAAAGAAGAGCAAGGAGGCCAGAATGATGGATTACAGTCAGTGAAGGGCAGAGTGTAGGAAACTAAGTCAGAGATGGTAGTGGTGGCAATTGAGGTGGGGGGTCCAATTACACAGAGCCTTGTAGGCCATGGAAAAAGGCTGGATTCTAAGGGTGCTGGGAACCCAATGAAAATTGAAAGCAGAGAAGTAACATCTGAAATGAGCCCTCCGAGTGCTGTATGTAAAATGAACTGCAAGGAAACCAGTGGAAGGAGATATGACTGTGGTAGTCCAGGCAGGAGGTGATGGTGGCTTGGACTAATGTGGTATCTATGGAAAAGGTGCGAAGGACTGGGATTCAATACCAATGTTGAAGGTAAAGCCTATAGGATTTGCCATGAGATTGGATGTAGGGTGTGAGAGGGAGAGAAGCCTCAGGGATGAGGCCAAGGTGAGTGTATTTATTGAAATAGGAAGTCATAACAGATTGTAACAAAGGGATCTGTTTGTCTATAGATACTTCCAGGGCAGGAAACACGCCCTATTGACTGCTGTCGCTGGCATCTAGAGTAACACCTGCCTGAACTCCAGTCAGTGTTTCGTATCAGGTACTTTATAACTGTTTCCTGAGGCATTCATGCTGATTCTCTCCTGACTTACAGGGAGCCCCCACATAATTGATGCGGGATAAAATACACAGCTCTGAGTACAGATGAATGCTGAATGCAAATCAAGTGCTTATTCAAATCTAGTTTTAATTTATACATTATAAATGCTGTTGTGATCTGCTATATTTCCAATAATGCCAACACACAAACAGTAAATCTGTGACTACGACTAAAATTGGCTTGTACTGAAAAACAGCTTTCCGGATAGAAAAAAATTTTTAGCCCTTAA